AAGCTGGGATGGGGCGGAGCGTGAATCCTACTAAAAGAAGTTCTGAGAGGAGACGCTCGACCTTAATCACTCAAGGTGTGGGCCATCAATAGAGCCCTGTGGTGAAATAGCGTCACTAACCTCGTCGGGTCGTAGAAAAATCGTCCAAATCCGACGAAGCTGTTGCGAAACGGCTCGTAGTCGCCGTAGCTCAGACCATAGCCAACGCTCCAGTACGACAAGCCACCGAACACCACATCGACCACATTCTTCACCATGATGTTCACCTTCGTCCTTTGCCGACACACTACCCGATTCGAGCAAACCAAACCCTGAAAAAATCAATTATCGATTGATCCGATAGTCCATCTCCAAAAAGCTGAAAAAATTTGAGCACCTTTAGCTCTTCTGATTGCAATATGTATGTGTTACTGCAAAAAGAATCTTCAGAAATGGAAGGCTCGATGTTCCCTGGGAAAATCCCCTAATAAAATAACTATTTTTCTGGAACAGAACCCTTTATTCTAATCACCGGAACTTCGTGGTGCTTCCGGTCGTTGGCCATTGCACTCCGATTTCAGCTGTCCGTCGACTAAGCGCTCAAAGTGGCGTGTTCCCTTCGGCAGAGCGCTGGACCAATAAAAGTAACAAGGTTTTTGATCTGCTGGACGAATGACAAGGACACCAGTTCTTCCGATAAAACTCAGAGACTTTCTGGGGAAAGGAGTGAGTAAACAGGAGCCTGTCATAGTGTCCCCTCATGCTCAATTTCGCTGCATGCATGGCATATATGAATGCGCCATGCGATCAACTTTCGTCCTCAGCTACTGATACATTTGAATGCGTAGTCTTGTACTGCTGACCTATACATGGCAACCTCCCAAGAGCAACTCAGTCCTGCTTTCTCTGAGAAATAGCGCGGCCATTCTTTTGAAGGGAGGTGCTCAAGTAATGTACCCCGTCATTATTGAAAAAGTGCAGTCAATAGCACTTTCTCAGCGGCTTTCAGTGCTCTAATTCCTTATGCTCTTTTGGTAGATATCCCTTCAAGTAAGTGTCTAGCTGTCTGCGAATAAAAGTGAAAAGGAATCGGTGAACTCCAGATTCTGCTTAAAAATCTGAGTAAGAAAATCTAGGTAAGAATGACAACCATTAAGCTTAGGGTTAGCCAAAGTCGGAGGATCTTCAGCGGGAACGTTCAGTTGGCTCTATAAAGATTAGGGCTGAATCGCGTGGAATTGGAAGGTGCCTTTTCGGAAAGGAGAAAACAGTTTGAGAGCGCGGATTTTCAGGAAAATATAATATTTATCAGATTTTGCTCAAATTTTGCGCAATTTCGGGGTTTCAGGGACTTTTTCTTGTTTTTACGGTTCCTAAAACTAAGTTAAATTTATTGCTCAAAGAGCAAATTTAGCCCAGCTAAACCGTGTGCCATTACATTCAGTTTTTGCCCGCCAAATGTGCCTGTAATAGCGAATCACTTCGTGTTAGGAATCACCGATTCAGTGAAAATTTGAGGGCAGATTCTCCAAGCGTTAAACAGACAGTTGTGAAAATCAGTGAGTCAATTTCTCCAGCGTTTACAGAGTCAGCCTTTCTCCAAACAGACTCCACGGGAGAATGGTACGTGATTCGGAAGGGGGGGGGGGAGCATTTTATTAAAGCAACAGTCCAGGAACGAATTTGCGGGCCAAAAGCACCTATATGGAAGTTGTAGGTGAAAAGTGGTCGAACGTAAAGAGAAAAAGTGAAGAAAACGCCCAACTGGGGCTTAGACAGGGACATGCCCTGCCGTTTAGGGAGACGTGTGTTGGACGAGTTGTCCGAACCTGCCCGTAGTACATGCGCTTTAATTGCAACTGCTGGCAAATAGCTGCATGCTTGCAAATACATAACTACTTGCCAGCAATCGAAATTGAAGCGCTTCAATTGCGTTCTTATGGAATCGACCTCATACAGCGCGGCGGTCCCGCAACGACCGCTAGTCAAGCGCGGACTCTGCACAGCGTATGTTGGGCGATCCGCCTCTTTATGGGTGATCCGCCCCCTCCAAGAGGACTTCGACCCCTTCCAGCGCATTTTAGAGGTAGGTTTTGAATTAAAGACATTTCCTATAAACTTTAGTTGGGCTGGGGCATGTTTTGACCGCCTAATGACCAAGTAGTTGAAACCCTGCCTGGACTGTTGCTTTAAGCAACCCCAGAGGTGTAGAAGGATTTATTGGCCTGTTTGACTTGACCGGGTATTCTCTCCCACCCTCCCTCCCAGGGCCACCGTCCGTTGGACAAAGTCCAACGCGACGACGAGAGTAAGGCCGAGAGTGAACGTACGCACGGAGACACAGACGGCTCGCGGGTTGCGAGAGTGAATGCCGGCGCGGAGAGCGGTGAACATCTGTCCAATACGTCCGCTCTCGCAGTATCGTCCCAATATGTCACGTTGACCCTGGCTCCCAGTCAGGGGATACCACGCCTGCAACTGAGAGGCTCCACGAGAAAAACCAACTGGCAAATTATTCACCGGAAAGACTGTTTAACAAGGCTTTTCTATACTCGGTGACCATTTTGGACCGTTCGTTGGCATTAGTTGAACGAGGGGGTCACTTTGTGGGCAAGGGGGGTCGCGTTTCGGGGTTGAGCAAGATTATCATGGCGGGGACGGGGGGTGCTGAAGCGGGGCGAAAAAAAAAAAAAAAGCAAATGCACATTTTTGACCCAGCCGCTTCAGGATATCAATTTATCCCCCCCCCCCGCCTTACCCCACTAGATAGCTGCAACGTGGGCGAAGATGGGCCTGTGTCGACTGATGTCAAAATCAAAGAAATACTGTAGAAGCAGCCATGACGGATAAGGTGGTGATAAGGGTGATGAGGGGGATAAGGGGGATAGGGGAGATCGTACTGGTCTTCTACTACTGATGGTGACGGTGGGTGGTCGCATCGAGACCTCCTAAAGAGGGGAGGTCGCAAAAACTTTGAAAAAGTGCAATGGTTGAACCTGATCTGAAGAGAGGCCGGCGTCGGAAACCAGACAGCAGGAAAGGCCTGAGCTGACCCTTCGCCGTTGCATTACAAGCACCAAGGGCAGCTCTGAGGAGCTTCAGTGAAGGACTTGTGCACATCGTTGAGCCCATAAGGAGGGAATATTTTCCACTTCCGTGGGTAACTCTACCCCGCACCATTCGGTTTTCTGGGCCCTTCCTGATCTCGCCGTGATAGGCAGATTCGTACAGCGACGAACTTCAAACGTAATGCGTGTTTTCCGTGGTGGGATAAATGTCAGTCATTGTTCTCCTAGATAATCCTTTCTAGTCCCTATTCTAGTATAATCTTGTACTAACATTGACAACATTCGGTAAGCTCTGAAAAGACCTACGAGCCAACGACAATTCTTCTGATGGCTGAGCTGATGGGTTGACAACTTTTTTAGTGACAACTGAATCGTTTGAATGATGAGCAGCTCCTCACAAGCTCTGAAGGGTAATCCCCTCGGAGTTGCTCACAAGTGACAAACAACGTGCGGATTTCCAAGGAAAGCAAAGTTGTAAAAAATACAAGGCGCTGAGGTTGATAAACCTTCCCAAAGGATACGCCACGCATACGACCTCACAAGTGAAATTACTTTGGCACACAAACGTGTCTGGGCTGTCTGGATTCTGTGGGAGCCGAGTGATTTACACGTCAGTGGTTTCGCCCACGTCAACGCAGGGTCGATAGACCGTTTGCATTATTTGGACGAGGGGTCGCGTTTGTGATTTTGGGAAGGCGGAGGATCCATTTTAGGACTGAGGAAGGTTAACTACTTCTGGGAAAAGTGTGAATGGGGGTCGTGAGAAAGGGTTGTATTTGACGGGTTTTTCGACGCGTTTGGGGGTCTGTCACAAACTAGGCTAAATTAGAGAAGATTGGTGGATTTAATGCCTCATGTCACCACCTTATCAATTCAGCCCCTTCCCCCTCCCCTCCACTCCGCTCGACGGCCATTCTGGAGGAGAAAGTGGCCGGAGTTGGGTGTGCTGACTGGTCTCAGACTCAAATCTACAAGAACAGTCCTGATGGCGAGGGTGGGTAGATTGGGGCAGAGAGAGGGGTGTCATAGTGGGGGAGCTTTATTAAGAGCGGTGGTGGGTGGTTGAATATTCACATAAAAGACCCCCAAGCAGGCAGGCTCGCCACAGAGTTCGTGGAAAGGTTACGAACGCGACGGTTGAACCCTGGCACGGCCCACTAATAAAAAAATCGGTGAAAATGTAGTTCGGGGGGCACCCTATCTAATCGAAGTGAAGCTGCGAAAGACACTCATATCTAATCAAAGTAGAGTTGCGGGAAGGCACTTATATCCTATCATATCTTTCACTAGCGTGCGCCACCGTTGCGACCAGTAGCTTTACCTTTATATGGTCATGGGCTAAAAAATGGCCTGCTGTACCCTGCTGGCTCACTTATTTACTCACAACGCTTCTTTGCGGGACTGCCAGCATAGCCCTCGAGCGGAAGGCTTCCCAGGTATACCGATTTCCGTATGGATACACGTATTGTATTTGGCATAACTTATCCTAATCAGATCCTCAGTAGCTGGGCTTGGATAGGTGATTAATATGACCGCTGCTACCGCTACGCCTCATTTCGATTAGATAGTGCCAGGTTCGATTATAGCGTTTTATGAGTGCCCCCACCAACTAATTTTCACCGTGAATGATCGACTGGACTCATGGGCACGAATACCACCATGAGACACACTTGATCTTCTTCGTTATCGCTTTTTGTGAAGCCTCAACGCTGGCCCTGTCGGCGTTTAACTTACACAGTTTCTCGAACCCATTAACCTACACAGCGGGCATATGAGACCTATTCAAAAAAAGCGCCATCTAATTGAACGTGGAGCGCTGAAAGCAGTTAAATTGGACCGATGGGCAATTCAATGGTGCCTTTTTCCTCATAGAATGCGGCATTACTCTTTGCTGAATGCGCTCGTTAGCCTGGATGCCATCGGTGGGCTTACGAGCGTTATAACTGATATGGCTAACTGACCGAGCCCCAGTTTTCAGATCGATATGGGTCCCGACGCAGATTAGAACGAAAACGCACAATGCGTGCGACAGAAACCTGAAGGTTAGGGCAGGATTATGCCTATTTCCAGCGCACTTCAGCTCACGATGGCGGAGGTGTTGTAGGGTCAAATACACCGCTTGACCAGCGCACGACTTGGGAGGGCAAAATGTTGGTTTTGCAGATTCACCCAGAGAAACAAAATGGATTGATGGTACGAAAGGGTAGTTTCATCTCAGTGTTGGAGTGGTGGTGAGGTAAGGGGAAGTAGCGCTACATCTCAACTTCTGGAGTGAAATACCGAATCAAGTAATCGCGTGGGCCAATAGAGCTCACCATCCGTGCGGGGCGGCAAAATGGAACCGAAATCCTTCAAGGATACTAATATGAATGACGGCTGGCCCTCACTTCGTAGGTATTCAATGTCACGATCCGAAGTGGGAACGGGGTGCATGGCGCATCCCGAAAAACAGTTTGATAATCGCCGGATGGCTATCCGTATTCGTACCCCCACTACAGAAACGTGTGCTGTGCTGATTGGGAATGATAATGCGCTTTGAAAAAGGTTGGTTGAATTTCCCAACAAAATTAAAGCCGATTGCGCATTTTCCCAAGCGGCTCTATTGATAGCCCTTTCAGAGCCCTCACAAAAAATTCTCTATAAAGACTGAGATATTCGTTATGTGTGCTGCAATACTAATGAGATTCACGAGACGCAAATCAAATCGTCGTCGGTTAGTTGCTCTTTGAAGGAGCACCAATTCTGAGAAGGTGAACTGCGTGGGTTATGTTGAGCGGAAGGAACGAGCAGAAAGATAGAGAAGAAAAGAAACAGCTGGATGAAAAATCGAAAATAGAAAATACATAAGATCAAATGTAATAATAATTAAACAACCTTTCAACAAGGGCGGAGAGAAATATGAAGGTAGTGTGATGATAGCACGACAAGCTATTTCAAATCAGCAATTCGCGGCCCACGCCATGTGATCCGCTATAGCCAACGCGCGCGGTTGCGGTGCGGCCACATGCGAGTCTACAGTATGTGTAAGTGTGATACAGGACGGAGACCATGATAGATGTTCATAGACCAGAATGCAGAAGCCAAGAGTGGTGTCATCTATGAGTGGTAGTAATTTACACACTATGCACAAGTCAAACGCTTCGCTACCGCACGCGTCCACAGTCCACCACTCGCAACGGTGAAATCTACACGACCACACTAGGCGAAAAATATCGCTTTTGGTTCTAATAATGACAAAAGTAGAATATGCGCAGAAGATTGAAGAGAAAAAGTGAAGAAATAGGATACCACCGGAATATCCGATCAATTATCGATTTTCACATACCTGAATGCATAGTGAATATAATGAAACTGCTGGTGATAATCCACACGGCATCATCTTGATAGAGTTTATCGATTTCGGACGAGTTCACACCCATAGCATAGTGATGAATTTCTGGATCGCATGACATTATCGATTGATATTGATCGATCGAGCAACAGTGACAACAATCAATACTCACGGACGATCTGCATAGCAGACGTGTTGAGTGTGTGAGTCGTCGAATCGGCCATCGTCGTTTGCGTTTAGTGAAGTCATTCAGATAACCGCATTATCATCATTGATCCTGGAACACTTGGAAAATTTCGGAGATACAATTGGAAAGTAATCGATCGATCGATAATCGATTTTTCACGACGGAAGACAGTTTGGCAAACGACGATAGACATAAAATGAATGCATGACATATGATAATGACTACGGTAATAACGGATTACTAGAAGCCTAAGAAAGAGGTTTCAGGAGCTAAATTCACATGCGAGCAACTAGTTATAGGGCGTTACCGTAGCGGAGGCGGTATAGTAATCGGATTTTGACGGGTGGAAAATTGAATTCTGTTGTGTGACCTTTAAAAAAGTCGAAGAGAATTCACAATGTGACCGCACCACTTGTTCGAAATGGTTACTGTAAAGTAAACTACAGTAATCAGTGATTTTACAGTATCCACTCGTAGATGGGAAATGGCGTTTGCATAATCCAGTTAAGTCCAAACACATCAATCGCCTCCTTTCCACAGTACCCTACAACCAGTATGCCTCGTTCACGTACATTATCGATTTCTCCTATCACGGAACTGAACTCGCGACCGTATTAGGCACGAGTCATGTAGCCACTGCGCTCAGGCCAATTTGATTCAGGGTAATGAAAAGAAGTAAAGGAAAGGATGCAGAAACAATCGAAGCGCCGGCTACGAAGTTTTCTAGGAAGAAGACTGAGCGCTTGAAAGCAGGGCGTGGAATTCGAAGAGATTCCAACAATAGTGCCTCTTGATAGGAAAGTATCGAGCCAGGGCAGTGCATACGTGAAACCCGTGGGAACGCGTTTTATAAAGACAAGCCTGTGTTTATGCTCACTCAAGGGTAATTTGAATTAGAGGAGTCGCGAAAAGTTCAGAAATCACTGACATGAATCATCGTCACCATAAAGCATCAGTCGCCCGTAGACAAGCCATTCTATAGAGCTCATTTCACCGCGACAACCAGGTATGACTAGTGCAATTCAAAAATGAGAGCAGAGGTGCTAATAGGATAAATCAGGTGAATCGGGAGAGAAATCCCTAAGGAGCTAAAATCTGAAGCTTCGAAAATTCAGGTGAAAGGTGATAGTGATCCTACAACACGGGCAGTTTCAAAGCCATTGGATGCCGAGGTGAGCTAAGAGGGATCATAGAAGACGTGT